CTGCTCTTGCTTCCACCCTCTGAAGGCTTCCCTTCTTTTGTTTGATTTTGCCCAGGAGCTCCTTGTTCATCCACAGGGGCCTCTTGGTGTTTTTGCTTGACTTCCTCTTTGCTGGGATGCATCGCTCCTGAGCATGAAGGAGGTGACCCTTGAATATTAGCCAGCTCTCTTGGGCCCCTCTTCCTTCCAGGGCTTTTTCCCGTGGTATTCTACCAAGCAGATCCCTGAAGAGGCCAAATCCTACAGTTCAGATGCTAGCACCGGTACCCTTAAGATACAGAGGTCGAGACAGCTAAATACATAATTTATGTTCTACTTTTAGCCCACTCTTCTTCTGAAAAACTTTCTCCCAATGTAAAGACTGTTCCAGCACAGGAATGGCAAGAACAGATCCGAGTGCTGTTTAACATCGAGCAAACAATTAATGGAGGGCTGTCAAAGACTGTGTACATGAGGCTAATTGCTGGAGGATGCCTTGATGCAAAGAAACTGAATTAAGTGCATATAAGGGAAAAAAATTCTTAAATGCCAACTCAAAAATATAGTAATTCTTTGAATACTGAAAAAATATCCCCTTAATTGCATTATATCCATGCATTGAAATGAGACACATCATCATATACTAGCAATTTCACAGCAGAAGGATCTTATCCTGAGAACTTGAGTCTCAACTGTCAAAACCATCAGAAGTTATTTGCTGAAAAGTCAATGTGTCCACTCCAAATCAGACTGTTCAAGCAGCAGTTTCTGGCATAATTAACATGTTTATCATAACAATTTAAGTGAAGTATCCTCCTTCATAGGAAACATGGTGCCAAAACCCAGCAGTTCTTTCAGTCGGTTGTATAGTCAGAGGAGACCTGAATGAAAGAATTTGCTTGGCAGAGCTGACAGAACGTCACAGCAAAAATTACCTACAGGTCATGCATGACCTTCAGGAATATTTTAGCAGGCTAAATATCCCACACCTGGATCCACCTCCTTCATGGCAAAGTGACAACAGATAGGAGTTACAACACAAACCAAGTCTGATTTTCATTTGACTGCTAAAGGGAATATGACTCAAAAAAAAAAAAAAAATCAAAGCAATCCATATAAAGGTGGTGTTTCTGCCAAACCCAAAGCAGCACATCCTACTTTCTCTTCTTCAATTCAATTCTCTTCCCTTTTTTTTTCACCCCTGAAAAAATTATTTCTGTACATGAATAGGTTTAAAACCTTCCCTAGTGGTTTCAATAATAAAACCCCACCAAACACACAAAAAACCCCAACAACCACCCCAAACTTACCTACTACAGCCTTTGCTTTACCTTCATAAAAAGACCAAGCTAGAGCCAGGGCATCAGTGAGACGCTCTTGTTTCAGAAGGTGGTCGACTCTCTAAAACAAGGAATATTGGACCTTAGTATTACAGAAGAGACGACCCCCTCCCATTTAAGACCAGCATTTTCCCAGTAATGGGTCATGATCCCTGACAGAAAGAGGACAAGAAACTTCAGCAGCTCTCAACACATTGCAGTAAAGGACAGTATCTTAAAAAGATTCTTTCATATGTACATTTTCTGCTGGACAGTTAAAAGAAACTAAGAAGCATCAGGCCCCAGTACATCAAGTCTCTGTGGGCTATATTTTAGGTCAGATGCTTAATGGATGGAGACCCACAGCATCAGCGAGTGTCTGCAACCACAATCAAAATTTTCCATTCCCCATCCTTGCCTCATCACTTAGAGCACAACAAAAAAACCTCTGGCATGTTTTCAGCATCCAGGCATACTCATCCTACCCTTTATTTTCTCCTGAGCTCACAGTCAGCAAGGATTGAAGTCACAAGTGGGTTCTGCTTTAAGGAATCATTAGCACCCAAGGTCAAGCATCACTTGTCTTGGCATGCTAGGTCAAAATGTTAAAGTACTGTTTGACAGAAGAGATTCTGAGCCTCAGAGCAGCATTATGTACTGCGGCAAGAACTAATTCTCGCTTCACACTCTAATACCTCACATCCTCGATTACAACTCGACTAAGTCCCCTACAATAAAGAGGCCTCCAGCACAACAGAAACCATATAGCAATTTAGGAGGAGGTTGGCTCAAAGCATGTAAGTTGTGATGACCTGAATTCTGTGAAAACCAGTACATTAAATGATGGGTCAAAGCAAGACTTTCCATTAACAGTTTACCAAACCAAAGTCGGTAGTGCATGGCTGGAGGGAAAACTAGCAGAAGAAAGTGGTCTTGGTAACCAAAACCAGCAACTGTACCAAAGTTCAATAGAGCTGAACCATTCATATTTTATTAAAGGTCCTGATACAGCATCACATGGAGGAGCTTATAATCATGGATGAGTACAAGAGCCATAAAGTAGGTAAGAGGAAAATGGTGAAGGTCACTGCTTTAAGGAGAAATGTGAGACTGGAAAGAAATGACTACTGGGGAGCTCCTTGAGAATCAGCCTTCAAGCCCCCTTCTACATAATGCTTTGGTCAACTAACTGGGCATAAGCTGAATTTCCTAATGAAGCTGATGCCCATCTGTCAACATGTAATGTGAGATAGAAGACCAGAAAGACAGAAACAATAGGATGACCCCCAAAGCTGGGTAACAGAAGTATGATGCAATCCAATGGCACAAGCAACTTACAGCAGAAATCAGAGTTTGGCTATGGGGTACTGGTGAATATCCGGAATGCCACAAGCCACTGATGTCATGTAGCCAAAAAGAACAGCAAAATGAGACCCAAGGATATATGAGGAATGACATATCTAGTAGAGATGGCACTTTTAAGACCCTCCCCAGAGTAACATGTGCCAAAGTGTTTACCTATGTTCAAAAAACTGAGCAAAAGGAGGTGCAGAGAACAGTGACTACGAAAAAAAGAAAGAAATGGGAAGGTAATCTTACAAGAGGATGATGAAAGAGCCTTGCAAAACAAAGTCCGAGAGAGAACATGCATACACTGAACCAACATACTGCAAAGTGATGATCCAGAAAGGAAAAACTGTTGTTTAACTCCAGCAAAAAGAACAACACAGGAACACATCCATTCAGCCTGCAAGTTCATGCTACCAGGAGTCCCGTAGCATCCCACCATGGAAAGCAGCGTAACCACTGTGCTGGCTGTGTGCAGCAGTCGGCAATCCTGAGCACAGCACTCAGATCATGCTTCACAAATGCTCCCTCCCTCCTCTCAAGCGATATTTAGGCAATTTGAAGCTACTAAGCTGTACAGTTTTCCTCTCAACATACCTCTCTCCAGCTTCTCAATGTCATGACGTGAACAGACTAGGAAAAAGAAAAAAAAAAGTTATTTACTTACAGTTGCTCATGCAGCCTATGGTATCCCACAGCTCCACCACAGCATAATGGCACAGATGAAGCTAAGTAACACAACCCTCAGGCTTGGCAAGGCAGGAATAAATTGGATGTTTATATTTAACAGAAAACCTTGCCTTTTCACAGACAGCCTGCACTGCAGGGCAGGAAGAGTGAACAGGATATTCCTTTTATCATCCCAGACAATACAGTCTAATTTTCCCTGCTGTCTTATTTTCTTCTGTTTACTCACTAGCACATTTAGGACAAAGAAATTAAAACTTAGGACAGAAGAGATGGCAGTAAAGCCACGCTAAGTCTACCCTGAAGCAGCATGAACCAGGATACCGTGAAACTATGACACCACCTTACTTAGCCCGTACCTTGGCTAAGAATTATTGTGCATTTCTTTAATCCCACAACATAAGTGCACAGAGAACCCATCCCTGATTCACATCTCATAGAATAAAAAATTGCCCTTCTCCAAAAGATGAGGCACCATCAATAGTGAATGCCCTGTATTTTTATTAAAAACTCCCCACATCTACCTTAGTTCCAAGGTAAAAGATCTGACCACCACAGCTGCTGATGGACTGATAACAAGCTTTCTCTCCAACCAATGCCTACAGGGAGAAAAATTACAGGCGAGTAAAACTGCTTTTTGTTTATGTAAAATTTCCCAAGAAACATATATACACTTGAACTTTAGAGACACTTTGTACTTCAGAAATCAAAATGAGGATTGGGAGAGAACACCACAGATTGCTGGGCTGTAGTAAGTAAAAAAGCTCTGCTGTCACTCCATGCTGCTTGTGACTGCAGCTTAAAGTGCTACTGAGCTCTGGCTGCCCAGAAAACACAATGGAGTCATAAGGACCCACAAACAGTGCTCTGTGTCTATCCTCATACAAAAAAAGTCATGGGGGCTATTTCCTTGTCTTCTGCTTCTTCACAATCTTACTCAAGAGCAAATGTTTAGGAGACACAGATGGAAAGAATATTGTTGAAGTGAGATTTGCTACAACAGAAGTCTGAATGCCAGTAACTAGTGTTCAAAAGGCTGCATATGGCCACATTTACAACGTGAGAAATGGAGTATCACACCAAAATTAGAGATTTTACCACACTGCACAGGCAGTGCTTGCTTCCCGCTCTGCTACACAGTTACACAGGCTGGAGACACAGACACAGGCTGTTTGTCCTGTACTCTTCTCAGTCTGGTCAGGTAGGGAAGCTTCCTGGATCTCTTCCCACTGCTGAAAAGCACGTCCATTCCAGGGACTGCTACGATAACACTTCAACCTGCTCAGCACAGAACCTAAGGCTGAAGTAGCAGGTATTTCCTGCATCTCTCTTTAGATGCCTGACAGTCTTCATCCACAAACCCAGACAGCTCTGAAACCACAATATTTCTTATGGGAGTAGCAGCCTCCTCTAGGATTTGCCTTCCAGAGCGTCTGCAGAACTAACGCAGGAAAAGGTGTATTTCTGAGCCTCTGAGGCATGAAAACAAACCAAAAGCTTCCCATCAGAAGCTGTCCTTGATTCAATTGCTCTGGAATAGGTTGTCTTGTAGTTCCTACTGAAATGCAGGGAAAAAGACGACCTGTTTCATCTCCTCAGTATTTCAAAATGGCATTATAGACTTCGGATCTCACCTACCTCTACCACTCTGAATTAGCTAGGGGTCTTTTCTAGATTCACAATAGCATTTTAACAGACAGCACTTATTTGGGCCCACCAGTTTTTCAAGCCACATGTCTCTGGCTTTGATGGCAGCAGCCACCAGAATTCCTCACAGGACACTGCAGAGTTTCTGGAATTGAGTGAAAGGCTGTGAATAACGACATACCCTAGCAAGGAGAGCTCGTATACCACCTTAGTGCCAATCTATGTTCTGTGAGGTTGTGCCTGGCAATTCCAGATCACGTGGCAGACAGCACATAAGCTAATTTAGACTAGACTCTGCTTTCTGCCTCTTTCTTCCTCAGTATGCATCTGCAGCAGAAAGAACGACAGCAATGCTAGCAACGTGAAGCAGATAAAGCAGTGAAAGCCAGGTAAGCAGCAGCTATGTAGATCTAGCAAAGGCGCCTCATGGATCTGGCCATTCAGACTGGAAGAAACACTCTGTCCCTTTAGTGCTCAAAGGGAACCACAACAGAGATATTTTTTTTATTATTGTTAGTAAATCCTGTCACCCTGCATTGAAGGCACTTCTCATTAGGCTTCTGGACCCAAGTTATAACCATATGCTGGGCTTGAAAATGCGGATCCAAAACTACAGACCCATATGAGCCTTCTGCTAGTTGTTTGGGCCGGCAAGTCTCATTGGGCCGAATCAAATAGGAACTGTATAGCCCAGCTGTGGAATTTCAGAGCTGCTGGGCTATCTCTGGTGAGGCATTGGGAGGCTTGAATGCAAGGATGGAAGGCCATTTCCTACACACAGTCTTGGCAAACTGTTTCCAAAATAGAGAAACTGATTTTCTACTGAAAGCAATAACTCGTCCCACAACTATGGCTTTAAAAAACCCTCCAGAGTGCTATGGCAATACAAATACCACATCAAAGTGAGTCTGCTGCAGAGGCATAGGTGAGTTACCGAGCTATCAGGAGCCACTGAAATTAACACCTACTTCAGGAATAAAACATGTCCAGACATCACGGGGCCAGGGGCCAAAAAAACCCCACCAAAAACCAACAAGCATGAAACTCAAAATAAAAGAAAGACAAATAAACAAAACAGGAAAAAGTAGAAAACGCAACATTCGCAATGTTGCCACTTCCACTATGGATGGTTTTGGCTTTTGACTTCAAACAAGAAAGAAGTGTAGTACCTACAAGCGTAGGTACTATGTTTCATCCTCTCTACCCCTGCATGACAACCTACGAGACGAGGGCAGGGAATGCACATACTGCACAGGCACTGCTACAGCAGAGAATTTGTGGCATACAAAGTAGAAAAGCCTGTGGGAATCTCTTGAAGAATAAAGCACATCAGCTTTTTTTCCTGTACAGTGCATTCCAAAGCCTGGTAACCTAAGAATGGCACCTAAAAACTTCAGTGCACAAAAGGAAACATATTGGCCACATCAACACCACGTATGATTTCCGAGATGCTCGAAAAGGTTTTCTTCCAAAGCTTCGGGCTTCCACTTAGGGCATATCAGAAACAGAGTTAGCTAACACGAGCAGGTCATTTGTGCCTACCAGGGCTTCGCTGACGTTGCCTCCCGTAGCCAGCGACTTGAAGTGACTGCTGTTGTAGACTAGCTGAACTTCTGAGATCTCTATGGTCTCCAGCTCCTCTTGCGTCTGACGATCTATAACATGCAGCTTCTCCACACTGTCCAGAAGCACTGCTGTCCGTGAGTTTATCCACTGAAAACACAACAAATGGCAGATTTCAGCAATGCATACACAATTAGAGGCCATCTAAACAGGTTCTGGCCATATCCTTGAGTATCAACACTGGAAGTTCTAGGATGGCTAGTAGCTTTGTTACTACACACGGTCACTTCACAACAGCACCCATGCATAACTTCAAAGGTAAAGATAGGGAGACTCCTTTTGGAGTATCAGCTTTAACACCAAGAAAATTCTCCACAGAAAACACCTGTAGAGAAATGGCAATCCTCTAGAGTTCTTGTCGTCTTGGTGCACTAGTTATGCTTTGGCACACTTTCTATCCAAACGTCTCAAAACCAAGACTGCTACAACACCTGTTCTCAAAACCTGTAGGAGGCAAATACGGCATCAGGAGGCATTAAAGAGAAATAGTATATCTAAGTTTAATTTGAAGTCTGTCATTCATATTCTGGGGCTTCTACTTTTATGTTCAAACCCCTGCAAATAAAAAGGCTTTTTTCCCCCTGCTTTTACAATTTTTTTTTCTAAAACAGACAAGCAAGTTTCTTAATGAACTTCGAATTCCAGCTGATGTGGATGTCCATCTTGGTATTTTGGCCTTTCATGTTTTACTTGCTGTATTCTGTAAATGTGTTTTAGAGTTCAACATCTTTTTGTTTAGTTGAAAGCATCAAACAATTATGGTGCTTTAGCAAGCACTCATATATGGAAACACTAGAATTTACTGAGCTGATTACACAGAATTTTGTATTCTTTTTTGTGAGAAGACAGAATAAAAATATTTCTTGCCAGATTCTCTCTGGCCCTTGAAAATATTTCCTCAACAAGGCTACCCCTCCTTCCCAAGAAAGGGCAGTATCGTTGCCTCTAACTTCTTACCCTTTAGCTACTACTTGCTATTTCACTTGTGCTGGTTTTCCACTGAGTCCCAAGTTTAAGGACATTTTCAGTTAGCCCCAGAAATCACAGCCAATTCTCATGCTACATTTGTAAAACCGACCTTATAGAACTAAGGGCTATTGACATACATTTACAAGAAGACTAGTGAAAACCAAATTAACCATTCTATAGTATTGAGACTTACAGTAAAGTTGATGAGGTCATAGTGTAGATGAAGCTGTCTCTGCTTAGTGACGTGTATTGCACCACTATCATCTCTCTTTACCTAAAAGAGAAATCGGACATGCTGACTCCAACTCAGAGACATCTTTCAGCTCAACCCCTCTGTTCCCAGAAGGCATCACACCAACTCCAGGAGCCTGGAGCTCCCCTCAGACAAACACGCTGAGCATGCAGTAGCAGCACACACGCTTCTCAAATGGAGCGTAATGTCTCACTTTCAAAAGCACTCATGCAAGTGAGGAAACAGAAGGCTCTGAGCAGGGGGCAGTAAAAATATATGCTCTCTGCTGGATCAATTTGCTTGCTGAAAAGCAATGACCAACGCATTTGTTTTCCCAAGCTGGCTGCAAGCTGCAGACATCCCTAGCACGCGCAGATATCATACTTCCACTGAGACAGAGGCTCAGTCAACTGAATACGTGAATAAGACATGACTAACTGAGAAAAACAGCATAAAACATCTGAGGCTTACCAGAAGAAAATGAACGACGTCTCCTCGACAAAACGCAAGCATGGGGTTCACAGAGTTCTGTACAGCCACAAAGTGCCATGCCAGAAGAGGGACACTAGAAGGGTCCATCTGTTAGACAAAAAGCACAGTGGGTATTTAAGGTACGCAAGGCAGAACCTCAGTTCCAGGACACATACTGTTCATCAGCTGCTACTCACTGACTTTGCCATGTAGACACACAGGCTGTAAAGCAATTTCCTGGTCTGCTGGCAGCTAAGCTGTAGCTTTTTGGTCCAGCCACATGGTTTAGGGTGTCAACCTGTGTCTCTTGGCAAAGTGGACAGCCAGTCAGAGCAAAACCTGTGTCCTAGCTGCTTCATGTAGATCCAGTCTCACATGGATTGATGGACTACGACAAGCTGCAGCTTTGTGCTGCTCTGCTAGCAGCCTTGTCTCCATTCTCCCAATCTAACATATCCCACATCTTCCCCTAGTTGCTTTTCCAACAGGAATTATACCAGCGGCTAGCGAAAGCAAATAACCAAGAGTGTAGACAACTGTTTAGCACTCTAATTCCACCTTGCTTCTGTCATTGAAATTAAGAGTTCTGTTGTATGGTTCTTATGCAAAGCAATGGCCCCAGTCCAAGGTGACTGTAGCCATAATCGGGTCAACGTCCCATCTGTGGGCACATCCAGGCTGCAGCAGGGAAGACAAGTAGTAGAGGGGCTTCTGCATTCCTCCCTCCCTACTTATTGGAGAAATTCAGCATCTTCGCAAAGATACAGCTGAAAGCAGCCTTTTCACCTCCTCTCTGCCCACAGTCTGCACGCAGACCAACAGATTATCACTGCAATTCCACAACGCAGAGTTTACTGCGTGCTGATGAAGTAGCGATACCAAACGTCTGGCCCTAATCTCATCCCCTTCACTCTAGGAACTGTTTGTAGCAATAATCCAAAAAGCAACTGTTTGGCTTCATTACTCACACGACCATAGGGAAAGGTCATCCACACTTTCAGAGATGGCTTCAGGCCGATAACCAGTATCTTCAGGAAAAAACAAAAAGGTGAAATAAAATGTTTGAGCATATACCAGAAAACTTTGTGATATCTCACACAAAGCCTTCTGCAAGCAGCGAGTTACCTTTGTGAGGGAGGCCATGGCCAGCAGTGAATACTGGGTGATAGGATGGTCTCTCAGCTCAACTTTTGCATGTAACGGTTCAATACAGCAAACTTCCCCCTTTGAGCCACTGAAGAGACATCGAGATTCACACGTTCTCACTCCCATAACCCTCCTGCAGAGAAGAGAAATCAGCGTGGTGGCCAGCTATCGAGGAGAGATCAGCCCAACAATCTCATGAAACCTCAAGAGTGATCCTTCATAAATACTGTTTTTAAAAAATCCTTTACACAGCTCCAGGGATCACTTTTAGTGTGTCACTGGAAACAGTCCCATACAGCTGTTCAGATACAGACAAGTATTCCTTAAGATCTTATTTAGCAGTAAAGTTTTTGGAAATTCCTGGACATGATCAGACTCCCTAGACTATCAATGCTTCCTCCTTGTCCCTCCTCCTTTTGAAGGAGCTAAAAAGACAACAAGCAATTACTGCAAGGCAGCTCTCACTAATGAAAAAAGGAAAACCAGGAGGCAGCCCTTTTAAGACAAAAACCAAGAGCCCACAAAAAATGCCAAGATTCTGGACAATACATTGATACCTTAACTTAGGCTATTCTTTGCCTGTTATACTGCCAGGTAGCCTCTGGCTTCAGCTGTGAAATGATACTGCAGCCCTAAATTACACCTTCAACATTCAGACAGTAGCTTTATTGGTTACAATGGGGTTTTTTACTTAGGTTTTAGAAACTATGACCCAGCATTTGTTTCTTGTACTTTCTATGGGTACTTAGAGTTATTATCTTACTTAAATGACAGTTCAAAAACGGAGCCTCCGCTGTCATTGCAAATTGCAAGCGTCGGGTCATCTGTAAACTGAGCACATAAGTAGATTAAAAGTGGCACTAAGAAATTAACTACAAAAAATGGATAAATTATGCTTATGAAATGGATAGGGGAAATGTGCTAATTATGTTAATAATGCCATGTCATTATTTACAGCACAGAAAGTATTGCACCTACGAGAAAGACACCTTTAACATACAGAGTTGAGACAATTACTGGCTTTTTTATGATGTGTAAGAAAAGAAAGGTTTTGTGTTTCACCATCACCCCTCCAGCAAGCCCTATTGCTAGATTTTGTTACCAAAGTCCCGTTACTTTCTGTTGCAGCTCAGAACTACAGCATACTAAAACCTGTGATACCACTAGAACAGCTCACAGCCTCAAGCCCGAGTTGGTATCAGAGCTGGTGACTGGGCTGCAGTCAATGAGATCAAAATCAGAAACATCCAGAACTACTAATGATACCAAATAATCAAGATGAGAGGGTCGCAACCACAGCTGAGGCACCCTTCTGGACTTTACAACCCAGCACATGGCTGTATAGCAGAGTCCAAGTACTCCTCAATGCTGGTACTGCCATCAGGTCACGAGCTAGAGAAGGGGGCTGCTAGGAACAGACGGCCTGGCACAGGGACTATTCGTCTTTACACACAGGGAAAAGATGGCAGACATGGAAGATGCAGCAGTAAGAGGGCACCTTCACACCCACAAAACATTTTTGCTTAGCCTGGTCAGACAAACCAGAACACGAGAACCTCTCCTTGAGCAACACGCCCCACCAGACCCACTACACTAGTTCCATGTGTGACGCTATGGGTCCGGGACATCTCTGCAGGGTCCAGGGAAGAAGAAGAGGGGGAAGAGTTCGGGTGATGCAAAGTCACTGCTCTGACTGGGCTGCAAGGAGCATTATGCTCTGGTAGGAGAGGTCCACGTGAAACAAAGCCATGCACAAAATCAGGTATGGGTTTCTGTGTGTGACGACAACACTATGTTGAACAAGAAGCCACAGACGGATTGCTCTTTCGCCTCGAACATTCCCAATCAGTTATTTGAAAAACTGCTCACAGAAGCTACTTTCTACACTTCAGACTCTCTTAAAAGTTTAAAGTTGGCAAGTCACGTATCCAGTTCAAACCACTGCAAGTTTTAGAGACGCGTATTCTAGCAACTAATTCTTCATAGATTTTGGCCCAGAGAGAGGAGTTGTAACAGACAACAACTGTTGTTTGTTACAGTACAACTCACAGCCGATACTATTATTTCAGCTCTAAAAATACTCTGTTTCCTTTTTAAATAGAATTGCTGCTCATTTTTCTCACCTCTGGATACTATCACCATATAGCTCCTAGGTAACTGCTCTCATCTGTAAATCTAAAAGTACTACACAAGGAAAGTCAACACATCTGACTGAACACGAGCGCGTTTTAAAGAAAACAAGGAGTACATGTAGTGTTTATTACCTTGATGTGCAAAATGGCTGTTCCTGGTGGGTGAGCATCTGTTATCGATCGTAGCAGCTTCCCACTGGCCAGATCCCACATTGTGATCTGCAAGCAGATTGTTCTCAGTACACATTTACTGCCAAGGGGTTCTCCCCACCACCTTGTGCATTAGTACATCAATACATTTCTATATTCCCAATATCATCCTGAGTTAGTAGGGTCTTCCTATTAAAGAAAAGTGATCTGAAATCTGTTCCTACCCTGTTTTTACAAGCAGTTTACTTATCTGTTTATACTCTCATGGACAACATCAGAGTTATCTTCACAACTCTGAATCATGTCCTTTTGGCAAGCTCTCACCACCTGCCCGAACTCACTCACCTCACAGCTATCTGCCTGATAACACAATTAAAGAACGTGAGGTAACTTTGCTACCGCGCAACACTGTTCAAAACGGTTCAATGCATTTCCTTCTCACAAAAATCACTAAACAGCTGAATAATCTCTGCCAACACCCGTTAGCAAAACTCGAGCATCTCCATGGCTACCATGAACCTTGTCACTCTTCTCCTCCTGCAGCTGCTCAGCATCACAGGTCAGGTAGGTGTATACAGCTTGGCTTGCACTTGCATATTAAATTCAGGCAATTTCTCAACTAAGAAGCAGGAAGTCTCAAACTACTTACTGCATAACTGAGGAATATTTAGCTCAGAAGATTATAATTTGAATCAAAATTTTTATTGGAAATACTATCTTATATGGTTCCATAAATTATCTCTCAAAGCTTCACAGACCAGATGTTTCAGAACTGCCGCTCCAAAATATTTTATCTGAATATCGTTTAAAATCAGCCACTGCTCTGCATGGATCAAATCTGTATTTCCACACGGTTTGGAGCAGCCTGTCATTTAGTCCTGTCATTGGCACTGGAGTGTGTTTTATTTAGAATGAAGGCGAAAGCCAAAGGAACAAAGGGAAATGAAACTAAAAAGAAAAACAAAGCAGCCTTCTTTGTGTTCCACAGACCTCTACATTTTACCAAGTTAACTTCTATCTGTTTTGGTTTAGTTTTAGTAGTATAACTTTTATTCAGGAATTGCTTTCTCTCTTTAGGTTGAGAGAAGGGCATAAAACTACAACAGCAGACTCAAAGCCTTTGTCCCCTGAATTCAAAAGCTGTGCTGCTTCTGTCATGCAACAGAAGTAAGGTATTAGTAAAAATGAATTTTGGGGCTGGATATGAGTTTCAAGAATTTCAAGTCATTGCCACCGTAAAAACAGGCTTTAATTACAAAGCACAGACCTCACAAAGTGACCTAAAAAGACTAAGCTGGTTGTCCTGGTGTGCCATTGCACATTTCAGTTTATCAAGAGCAGGACTTATGTCACAAGGAGCCACAATTAATTGAATCCTCCACTATATTCTGCATATACCCGTTTGCTCTACAGAAACCTACCCCAAACAATCTGAGTTAGCTCACCAGACGTAGGAATTGGCTGGCCAAAAAAGCTCTGGGCAGATCAAGCCACGCATACTGCTTCTCAGCACAAAAACAACTAACGAACAGCTACAGATTGAGTGCGCTTGGCTTAGAGCTGTTGTCACCTCTGGATAGTCTCTCAGTAACAGTCTGCAGAAGGACAGAGCACTGGACCATCTCATCCGGCGGGAATTACCTGTCCTTTCGCAAAGCCGCACAGGAGCCTCGAACAGTCATTGTTGATACTGAGAGCAGAGATAGCCCCATACTGGGCCCCAACAGCAGTGCTGCCCAGACACAGCCGAAGAGCCTGGTTCTGATCTAGAGCAGAACAATTAGTAAGAAATTAAAGAGAAAGAAAGAACAATGATTAAAATTAACATCATGCAATTGTTTATATATACAATTCACTTGGGATACATTAACGAATGATTCACAGGCTTACAGTAAAGTTCTTAAAGAGTTTACGAGATGAGAGCTCATGTTAGTACAGAGATAGTGGGACACTGTCTTGCAGAGAAATACAAAAATCATTTCAAAAAGTACAGAACAGGCACAGGGCATATGGAAAGGCAGAGATATTACAAATTGAAGTAGCAGCTACCAGAAAAATCAAAGCAATATCTAACTTTCCTTTTACTATTCTGCAATGGTGCTTAAGTTGTAGCAAGGAAGATGACAGAAAATTAATTCTATCTTCCCAGCCTTATACTTCTGTATGTTGATTTGAACATCAACTCCAAATCCCCAGGCTTTTGGTAAGCATAATTTTACGTAACTGACCCCTCAGTTTTGTTGATAAAGGCCAGAAGCTGGAACGAAAATGAACATGTGTCCCCAAGCTGCGCAGTTAAAATGCTCAATGAGTTCTAGTGCACATAGCTCTGACTTTGTAAGGAAAGAGTAATGATCACCACACTGTGACAGAATTTCCTTTCCTGGGACACAGGCTAGTGCATGGCTGTGCTCTGCCTACCCCTGTAGGCATCTCTGTGCTAAGTTCTCGTATGCTTCCACCACGAGACCCTAAAAATTGCTTTATAAGTTATGAATAACCTTCTGCCTGGCTTTGGTGCGTTGCTCTTAAAAGCCAAGAAAACAAATGCTCTGGATCTGCTTTCCCCCTCTTCTCCATTTTTGTCCTGCTTTTGAGTGGAGCAGGAAGGAAAGATGCTTTGTGAGCACTGCTTGAATGAAGACTAGAGATTTGAAACACACTGTGTGCAGGATTCCATCCTGAGCAAGGAAGGGGAAGGGCAGGATCCAGGGGACCAGACAGCAGCTGAGCACCAGAAACCCCTTGGAAGAACTGCCCAAGGCAGGGGACACATTTCTCCAAGTTGCAGTACTGCTAGCAATGTGCTAGATGTGAAACAGAGCATGGATGTATCTCTCGTTTCTTCCCCAATACGAAGCGATGTATTCATCAATCTGCACAGACAGATTGATGGCTGAGCACACACACAGTGGGAGTCACCTTTCAATTTCTACCAGTATGAAGAACCATTAGAGGGAGGACAGAAACACTAGCAAGAAGAGGACCTGAACTCATGGATTACTCTAAAGCACTGTTCAGGGTGAGGAGAAAGAGGCTAGCACCAAGTTCAAATACTTTTTCCACTCTATTCCTTGTTTTCCTGCATCTACCTTGATAAACTTGTCTGCTGTAGTGGCCCAACAGAAGGTAAAATGTTCCCTTTCCTGCCAAATCTGCATGGTGGTAGCAGAGAGGTAGGGATACAGAGGGCGTTACAAACATCACTTGTTCTGCACACCAAATGAGACTGGATGTGGACAAGACAGAAGAGCCATGCTCTGGCTTGCAAATGCACAAGGCAGGCTCAGGTATTATAGAAAACTGTCGGTTTTGCTCTAAAACATGACGACAGTAGCAGTCAGGAGGATGCCATATGTTATGGGTGCTCAGAGACATCAGGATTCTTGTGAATGTTGAAGAGCTTACTCTTGAAATCTGTGGGAGGAAGAGGGAAAGGTGCCTTCGGTTGACCGTATCAATGAAAATCATCACCTCTTCACCACAGGTGACAAGCAGCCCAGGCAGGTCGGGAAGAGGCTACCTGTCTTCTGCCCTGCTGTGCCTGCCAGCACAACACCTGATACTGCACGAAGAAGCAAGCATCTCCCTTTCTTCCTCTGCAGTCTGGCTTACGCCAAACAAAACAATGGAGCTGCATTTTCAAACAAGAACTGGCATTTGCTTGTTTACACTTAAAAACATTCCATAAAGTTACTGCTTCTACTGTAAGAGATGTTCATCAATTAAACCACAGGTAGATGAAGATTATTTTTCACAGTTAAATAATCAGAAACTGCGTAAAACACTACTTTTCATTAGCTTTCCAAATGAATGTAATATTGTTCAAGATAAAATCCTCTGAAAGCCAAGGAGAATGTAAGGGTTCAAATTGGCTGAACCTACCTGTACAGAAGCAGCTCTCGAAGCTCTGACAGTCACACAAGCTACTGTTTAAATAGATATCTAAATTTTATAAGCCTTGACACTCATGTTTAACTACACAACGGCTGTATACAAGTCAAGTGACTATGCCGTGAACAGCTGCCATCATTCAAGACATAAGAGGAACATGGAGCCAAAATTACTTCAGCATTACTAAAGCGAGAAATTAGAAAAAGCAACATGCAATTCATTGCATCTGCCACTCAAACACAGCGCAGAGGCTTCCTGAAGGTCAATGTGATGCCACAGAGCCACAGCAAACCACACCACCTTCTGCTCCAGGGGCAGGCACAGTGTTTCAGCCACCACCTCTATTACCAAGCACAAGGCAGTGGAAACGCTTCAAAACCAAGGTCATTGCTCTGCACACAACTCTCCTTGTAAGGGTAAGATGAAAGCAGAAGCCACGCGATAGAAATAAAAACATCCTGACATCACTGTGACAAGGGCGTACGCATGGCATAGATCAGAACGGGTCAAAGAAAAAGAAGGTCACAGAAGATTTCCACAGAAGCTCAGAAAACACAGAGCTACAGCTGGAACACAAGTTCCCCAGAGAGGTATTCTCCAAATGGTGTCCTTCAAGTCCTAAAGAAGTAATTCCTGTTCCAGAGGTCTGGAAAAACAGTTCATTTACAAAGAGACCATCTACTAACCATAGAAATATGTGTAAAAGGCAGGCGAATACTGCAGCTCTTGCTACTAAAGGCAAATTGCATTTTGTTCCTTCCACTTCAGCTGCAACCTGTCAGTAAGTCAATCAATAACCTGTTTCCTGCAAGGCATGAAAAAGGAGAATCTTTCACAGCTTTCTCCAAAAAGGGCAGCAGTTTCAGAATCACTACTACTTTCAATCCAGCTTTACATCTTTATACATATACCCACATGAACTTTCAAATCCATTTTCTTCTTCCCTCACCCAAAATGTCAATTGAAAATAAACAAGACCTCCACTTCACCCCCAAATTAAATACTTTGTATGACTCAAGTTATTCCTCCCTAAGAAGGAAGTGCCCATTGTTCGCCAGAGATGCATTTTCAGAGTTGAGAAACGATCACTGGAAAGCTAACACCAGAGAAACCGATGCCAGTACTTGATCTTCTTACCAGTCCATCAAAAGATAATGCACAAGGAGGAGCCATTAGATAAGATTTTTTTTTTAAAAAAACCCTAACTATAAGATGGACAAAATTGCTTCCAAAGCAAAGAAAGATGCCCGAATCAATGAGCTCCTATTAATCGACTGGTAGAGTAATAAAAATGGATAAAACCAAAAGGTTGTAAAAGCTGATCTGATTAGTTTCCAGACTAATGTTATCAGCTTTGAATTAAGGCACATTTAAGACTAAGCTAAGAAGCTTTTTCCAAATGCTTGAAATGAAGGTGGCTATCAATTGTCAAAAAAATGTTTTTATTTGCAATTTACACAAAGCAATTCTTCGTCTGAAAAATTTCTGGCAGTAACTATTTGTGCTGCTCTCAAAGTTTGAAGTCAAATGAGACAGCACTTTGATATAGCTCTACAAGTAAAGAATAAAAACAAGTTTGTGAATATGAGGTCACTTTCCAGAACAAAGGAATAAGCATAGCACTCCAGTAGTTATTACTTCTCAGGTCACCAGGTTTTCATCAAGATCTTTTACTTAAGCCACGATTTTCCTGATTTTGAAAGGCTTGCTTTATTTCCTGCGGAATTTCTCAAATATTACAAATTTTATGAATAGGTCTTTTCCCCACCTTTGTTAAGCACAGTACCAGTGAACGCTCTCCCAGGAGGCGTATGTCCCCCTCTTGGGCCTGGCGATCAGGGGGACAATAGCTGGTGAGCTAACAGGACAGCCTGCAGACACCATCTCCCCCAGTAACTGCTGTCTGCTTGCACGGGTTTCACAGAGTTTCTGGCTTGTGGCTCTTTGAACTGGGTTTCTACTCCATAGGAACAGCTCTCAGGAAGGAACAGATGGACGGTGATCTCGTGGCAGAGCCTTTGTCCTGCCCTGAAATAATGCCTTTGCACACAGCTACGGACCTGCTGCCCTAAACCACTATAAATAGCACATTTACCTGTTCCTCTGCTGTTCTTGCCTGGAGAATTTGGATGTGTGCAACGCACATGCATTCGATAATCAATTCCCAGACCGGGCAGCAGTATTACCCACTGACTGGTTACAGCACCACCTGCCTTGCTGCTTATCTGGCATCCTAAATTCTGGCACAGACAACATGCAAACTGGGCAAGACAGGAGTTGTTCATGCAGGGTACGAGCACAGTGCAGAGTTACCGTACCTTTTCCTTTTCAGTCCACACAGAAAGGGCCAAAACAGGAAAGAAAAAGCCAGAAATCAATATAAGAGAAAGGAGTGAAATAATAAACAGCATACATGTGATAATCTTCAAAGACAGAGATAACCTTCAGATTTTGCTGATAGTGTTTCCTTTTGTTAACATTTCCCCCTTTTGGTTTATCCACGTAACTGAGAGGATGCTGTGATAGCTAGTGTTTTAAAATCAAGCTGTTTAAAAAGCAAATAGAATCACTGCAGAAAAATGAGTTTATAAATTTGGACTTCATTGCATTGAAGATTAGAAAAAAAGAGAAATCTGAGAGGAAATAAAACTGGAAGTTCACGGTGACATAACTGGTAAAGCTATTTTCAACAGTTACCACCCGCCTGCTAATCAACTGCCCGTTAACTTTGAAAAACAACCAAGGACAACAGGCCCCAAAATCTACTTTTAATGCTGTCTTTAGGTACTTACACTACCTGTTCCGTCAAGATATCATGCTACCCCCACACCTCAACAAAGACTCAGGACACTAACCATAAGTTTTACAGCCAACAGAGAAAATAAATGGTTCAGCACTAATCAAAACAAAGTTTAGCTATATAGAAATTTTCTGTCCAGAGCAAAGTCTCCATGAAAAAAATAACACGTTTCAGTGATTTCTGTTTAAGGGCTAGTTTTTGAGTAGTGAAAAAATCTCATAGCTCTTCTAGAAAGATGGAGAAGAAAAAAAAAAACCTCTACAGATTATTTGTTTATTGCTGTAGGCTTGCTGGGAGAGCACTTCTCCACTCCAGCTAGCAATCCTCAAGAAAAGTCATGGCACACAGCATAATTGTTCATTTGCACAATGCTCACAGCTCCAAACAAGTTTCAGAAAGAATTTGGCAAAAGGATGGCCTTCATTTACATTAAAAAACAAAAAATAAAGAAAACCCCCCAAACAAGCACAGCTCTAGAAACAAGCTAAGGGTCATATAGCTAAGGCACAAAAAAACCTGTCATTATCCAAGTGTGGTACCAAAACATCAAACAGAAAATAAACTACCTGAAAGATAAGTACCAAACAAGAGCACCATACTCTTCTCAGTAATATCAGATCTCGTAACAAACGGCAAATACCAGAAACGGCAGATTGAGAGGTTTAGATGGGTTGTTAGGAATATTTAAAAAATGCTGCTGACAGAAGCATTCAAAAACACAGACTGAAAGCTACCCAAGTCTTCCTTAAAAAGGACAAAGCAGACAAGTCGAGGTACAGGTGGACTTATGAGAGAAGACAAAAGGAATAGCTAAAGTTAAATATATGAAAGAAAAAATAAAGGGTTAAAAAATTTGCTAGTGAGACAAAGCTATTTGGAGAAATTTGAACACCAGCAACATTCAACCAGGAAACAGACATACATTTTTACAGGCAAAAAAAGGTGATGTTGTTTCCATTGTACATATATATGGTATAAACCATGCACACAGCTTACAAAACTTCAGGGAGTAAATCTCACCCTAATTAGCACATCCACTAGAAAAATGTTCTCATTTACAAAGTACAGAAATTGATTGGTCTACAGACATAAACTGCTGGTTTAAATTACAGAATAGAACCAAGCCAGACCACTAATCCTCTCTCTTTGCACACAAGAAAGCCTTATACAGCCATATCCTGCGAGGATTTCTCTCTGCACAGATAGATCTGAGAGCGCTGGGGTCAACGCCCAAGTTTTAGTTACAGAACTAAAAGAATTTAGCAAAGAACAGACATGTCCAGGAAGCATTTGTTCCCATATCTGAAACAAAGCTGGATAACATAGGACATACTCATGATAGTACAGCCCAGTACGTGGCTGTATAAAGAAAAACTTTCCATGTTTCAATAGACCAGAAAGCTTTAAATGTCCTGTTGCAAGTATGTAGAGTAGTTCTTCAAAGCACTAACATTTATTTTAATAAATTAGTGGGGAAAGCTGGCATTGTGTCAAGTTTTCTAAGGGCCACAAAATAACCTGAATGACTACAGACTACACAGCCTTGCAAAGAACGTGGCCAAAATAACAGGAAACGTGTTGGTACAAAGTAATCAACGGTGTAACAAAGAAAACTTTGCTTAAACATACTTGCATTGAGCAAAACAAATCTACCTTACAAAATCCATCAATTGAAATACCAGAGCATGCTAAGCACCTTGGACATTCAGTGGTCCATCCTCTTAAATGGGACTTGATGCAGAAATAATCAAGACAAAGGTAAGAATGACCCATCCTCTCTGCATGCTTAAGAGTCATAGAGTCCTAGAGCCCCTTCTGGAGTATAAAATACTAAAAATAGCATCTATTATGACACTTACAGAGAACAACTTCTTGTTTAAAAGCTTACTGCCTTCATAGTGTCTGCATATAGAGCGCGCAACAGGAAAATCAGAGTAAAAACATGTTCCATAGTAGTGATATTGCAGATCTCCACATACTAGACAAATTTTAGAAAAAACACAAAGATGTCCTACTAAAAAGTCAGTAAGATCGTGTGTTGACTATAGCAAATAAATTATTTATATTCAGATTAAGCACATCCTGTAACTGTAATACTGGCTTAAGAAAATGACATCAGATAGTTTAGTATCTAAATACCCAGGAAAGCAAGCCTTAGACTGTCACAATCTTTCGCATCCTTCTGTTGTACCCTGTGCCCCGTCATTTTTGGTCTCTTGAATAATTTCAGCCAACTTCGAAAGAAAAGCAAAGATAATGAAATTCCTAAATTTGTTAAGAATTTGGTGCTGCATAGACTAAAAGGTGCAAAAACTCGATGCGTATGGGAGCAATTCAAGCGCTGGTTTCACCCAGTTCGTAAGCTGGATAAAGTTTCTCAGCTTGTGCCTCTGTTTAAGAAAGTTTGGCGAGAAGAGGGAGGAAAAAATAACAGAATGAAAGGACACAGAGGTGACTGGTACAGGGGAAGGTCAGGGAAGGAGAAACCTGTGCTGCAAGCCTGCAGGTAGCCATGGATCCCAAATTCTACTTCCCAAGGAACACATTTTAATTTACCTAATGCTAGCAGCTATCATGTCATGGGGGAGAAGATTAATACTGTATGAGATGATTGTTGGATACTGGTTCCGGTTTCTTGCTCATGAAAATAAGAGTAATTCATATTTAAACACAGAAAAGGTTCTTTAGACAATTGCCACAGAGCTAAATGCCTCAATATCAACGCGCCAATCCCCAAAGCAGAAGAAATAAGTGACAACTGAAATATTGCTTGTGCTTTGTTTATTTAACAGAAAATCACATTTAGCATAAACAGAAGGTATTAGAAGAAATCCACTCTACGGTTCTAATTCAGGCTGGGGTTTTTTTGCTTGTGTTTGGTAGTTTGTTTAAAACGCAAAGAACTCAAAACTTTATTTTTAACTTACCAAATATCAGTGCTAACCCATGGGAAGTCCCCACTGCTATGAGATTTGATGCTGCCTGAAACAGTCATGGAGAAAGATTGAAAGAAGAACATCAGTCACAAATCCACCACTTAAACTCTCACTACACTCACGCAAAGTTTTCCAAAAGGGGAAGATTTAGAAGGTTATAGATATAACCATTTTCTAATTTATAAGTGACAAGCAGTTCCTACACAAAAGTCTGAGAAGCATTACACCTGAGCGACCATCACAGAGATTTTTTCAAGTTCAGAGGACTCCCTTTTCCTCTGCTGTTTGAAATTCAAATGCTGAGGTGGTACCTACAGTGAAATTTCTCCTCTGTAAAGTCAGCCTCTTTCCTTTGGTGGGGTAGCTGAGTGTGAACACTCAGAGGGTTGTTCTCCTCAGCTGCTACATCCACACCTGAACTCCTCCACAACCCTGGGCAGTGCTGGTCCCCTGAAGAGACACTCCACAGCAAGCCCAGAGACTCCAACTTCCTTCCGTGGGGAATTAAACATAGCTCCAAGATTCTATTGCACTTGCAAACCTGCACCTAATTAAATAGAACTTAACAGAAATCACATAATGTTGTTCTACTTTTTATTTCTTAGTAAGTCAGATTAAAAAAAATCCAGTGCTTTAATATCAGGAGTACTTATGTACAAGCTTTTATCCTACATGCACATCAGTCACAATGTGCTTCCAATTTTGCTGTGCAACCTCTTCCCTTAGATGTGACTATGCTTTTTTTCCCCTTCTTTAAACAAAAATTATAATTTCTTATGGATTGCTGCTTCTACAGTCAAAGCGACAAAGCACATCTTTAGTTTCTTCATAAAACATTCAAACTCATTTCACAAGGGCAGAACAAATACTTGCTGTATTTCACCTCCTTAAAATGTTTCTCTTCCCCTTTAACTATAGGCAGCTTCACTTCTGATGTATTTTAATTAGCATGCTTGACTTCAAGAAGTTCAAGGCATATTGCTATGCAGGAGAATCTTTCAGACAGGCTTTTAGTGAAATTTTGTATTTTAAAGTCATATTTCAGTTACATCAGAACCATAGAGATTTTGAATCCATCACTTCATGAGCACTTCAAGTTAAAGATTCTTTAAAAAAAATTTTTTTTAGGAGTCAAAGCACTAACTGGCAAAGAAGTAGCAGCTAGGGAAATTCAATGTGTTCCACAGACAGACCTTTTGGGGAAAGGTTAGGTACTCAGCTAACAAGGCCTGACGATGACATGAGGAAGGGGAGAGCATGGGGTTTGACCAGCAGAGGGGTAGCTGGGCAGTTAAGAAAGGTTGAACTCTGCCCCCAGGAGCTAGATTTTTCATGCTGCTTCTCCCACCCCTCATATTTGAAATTTCTTAGTAAAGGTAAGAAGGAAGATGTACTTACAATTGCAGTGGGCAAGCCAGCATCCACTTTGTCCTGGAAAAACAGGACAAGTCACGAGTAAGAGAGACAGAACTCCCAGCTCTGTGCACATCTCTAATAATTAGAACTACAACACGCTGGAAAATCAACACAAATTGCATTTTAATAGTCGCCACAGGGCAGACAGTGCTGAGGGAACCGCTGGCTAGAAATACCCAGAAGGGATGAGAAAGTGCACAGAAATGGAGAGGACACAGAATATCCTATAATTCCATATGAAAGTTACTGTGTTCTTCTCAAAACAGCCTCAGTAACAGTTTTCAGTATTCTCTGTGCACACAGCATAGACATCCATTGCAAAACTACGTCCCTCTCCAGCACACCTGATCAGCTTCCCATCCAGGTGGCTCCACCAACGCAAGTAACAGCCAGCGGCAGCACGCTAACATCGAGACTCTGGTCACACAGCCGCCACAAACACTCACGGATGAGTCACTTGTATTCTATGCTAACAAGCCTACCCTGCTTGCTTCAGAAATCACGCACTTTATAAATCACTGCCTTAGCTCTGATCTCAGAGCATCAGTTTTCCCCTGGCAGCAAGACCTACAGACCAGCTCTGCAGCACCTGTGCCAGGAAGATGCAAACCGGCTCCTCACTTGGCTCAGAGCAACGAGTGTGTTCTGCACCTGCTGCAGGCATTAAGCAAACCTGTTTCCAGCATCTTCAAGCAAGCAGAACAATAGCACTGCTATCATTTTATATTAACAATTCCCAACAGATTTAATAACATCTAGCCGTGCAGATCAGTGTTAAAGAGGACCTACCATATTGCTGATGTAATAAGTCACCTAATACCTGATTCACTACTGGCTAGGGATTACTAGTTAGTAGTTTATGTACCAAACATGTTGTTATTATCCAGAACTAACAACAGGGGAAGGGAGGAGATCACACACACCACCCTCCACACCAGAAGAGGTTCAAATTTTTCTTAATGGATGCAACCAAGAGAAAGAGACACTTACTGCTGCAGATACTATTTGGGCTGAAATTCCTTTCAGAAGCGAGAGCCGTATAACTGATCCATGGAGTGAGAGAGAATCTGGGAGTTTTTTCTTCCTAAGGAAATAAGAAATAAACCAAATGCATTAGAGCAGAATAAAAGTTTGGAACTTTGCCTAACCCACAGCTAAACCAGGAGGTAAATTCTGCATGCACTCATAACTCATGCAGTTTCCAGTCTTATTCTTGGAGCCTACATGCACAGAATGAAACAGACATGAGATTATTAGCAAAGCCTGCTATGCACCACTATGCCTGCATAAAATTTGTTAACTCATCTCCTGAGGGGGGAAGAAAAAAAAATAGTTCTTTAAACAAATTGTCAGTTTCAAGCACGTATCTGCAAACTTTGGAATTTATTAATAAAGCCCGAAAGCAAGAGTTTTGCTCTTTAATTAATCTGCCAGTGAGTCAGGAAGTTTCAGCCTTTAAAGGTGAATAACTAAGGAAAATACACAATTGGAAAAGGCTCATTAACAGAACACAGACCCCCTAGGAAAACTGGATGTATGCTTAAAGAATATCCTTCAATTAAAACACAGTCCATCTGATATGAAAGGTTAAGTGTTTCTGTTTATGGAGAAAATGTCTTTTAAAAGTAACTAGTAACTGGGGACAGTTATTTCTAAAGAGCATTGGCATACTGTGGCACACGCAGTAGAGGGAAAATCCGCAGGAAAGTTTCAATTTTTCTGCCAAGCACACACCACCAGTAAGCCAAATTTCCAAAACTAACACAGAAACGTTTGATTCTTATCTCTCCAGAGGTGCACAAATAAGTAGCTCACAGGTAGGCTGAAGAAACTTGTTGTTAATAGCTTATATTGTGGCTAAGGACCCATAAACATGGCAACTAGCTTCACCTAGAGATGACAAAAGCACTTTGGTTTAAGCCACTCCAGGTAACCTTTCCCTTGATACAAACCATCTCATTTGAAAAAAAGAAGGGACAGTGGGTACACCACCATAAGCCACCATAACCCATCACACTTAAGAGCGTTTATATCCTACGCAATTGCTCATGCAACAATCATAACTTCTCATGGCACATAAGGCAGCTGTGGGAGTGGCTCAGGATGTAGGATCAGGCCCTCATTTGAGTAATTAATGAGACAAGTCAGCAGTATTATAGCTAATTATCACATTCCAGGCTGCTTTTAGATGTCAAGATTAGCACTCAATTTACAGGAGTGACAGCAGTTCACTTGCCTTTTAAAAATAACCACCAGCTGCTTGCAGATTCTGGAAGTCACCAGACATACCTTTGAAAGATTTTCTTTAAAGTCATCATGGCTCAGGGTTTTAAAGATTCCATTAAAAATCAGAAAAATTTAAATACTCCATCCCCCATAAAATGCATTTATTGCTCAAACAGGCTAGCCCTCAGCGCAAAACCAAATCCCATCTTTAGCTACTTGATCTTGCAGGAGTAACACTGTTCTGTCAAAAGCAGCTTCACCAGAGTCCCTGCTGCATCCCCCTGGGACTTCAGCACTAGGATTTAACAGCAGGAGACAAAACCCACACATGCAATTCAAGAGTTCAGACTTAAGCAACAGACAAATTGCATGCTGACAGCAAAGCTTGGGGAGGAAGCAGCAGGAGGTTGCCTTAGAAAGTTTCAACTGTTCTTAGTTTTGGATAGTCCTTCTACCCACTCAAAAAAGGAGAATGTTTTTAACGGATGTAAGCAGTGTTCCTTCAAAAATATTTAAGATTTAGTCCTGCAGTACCTTTTGAGGTGTGTCCGGTCCCCGCTGTCAGAGCTTGCTACAGAAGATGTGTCGTAGGAGTGTGTATCCGTGTTATCAATGTTCAAGAGAAAGGGATCCTCCAAAATGAAAGACTCTTCTTCATCATCAGTCTGAAGGAAGAGAATCACCACAGCTTACTAAATGTTCAAAGTGCACAACACCCTAACTGAAACATTAGCAAAACTAGCATCGATTAAGCAGAAAAATCGAGAAGAGGACAAGATAGTCATGTATGTAAAAAACTAGAACTATGTATTATTTTACTAGACTGATTCTGTGGAAGAACCAGTTTCCAGAATTCACAATAATCACAGAAGTAGGTTGGAAAGAAAGTTATTCAACCAATCTTTCTTCCCCAGATACTATCTACTCCATCAAAACTCTAACAGACCTTTAACTAAGCTCTTCTCAAGTCTCCAATTGCCAAGAGAAGGCCTAGAATTACCATCCTCTAGCCCAGCACTTCACCAAGTGGTGGCTAAAGGCCTAGCGGTCCCTCCAGCCGCCACAAGGGCTGATTTTGCTCTTCTCTGTGCTCTTCCGCTGGTGCTCTCTCTCCTCTCTCAGGCTTAGCCTGGAATTATTATTTTTATAGTATTTTTTAAACAGCCATTCTCCCTGATGTCTTCTAAACTCGGCGCAGTTCACGTCTCAAAGCACAGAGCCAGAGAGCAAACACAATAAATACCCCACCTAACGCCAAACATGCAGAGGACAGAGCAGGTGCTCCTCATCTGACTGACAGTCCTGTGCCCATCAAGCCTCCCTTTTTCCAGTGCAGCTGTATACCTTTGGGACTCAGACAGGTTGTTTTTCACTAAACCCCTTTGCAAGTCATTCCCATCCTGTATATACAGAGATAAACAGCACTGGAGTAAGACTTTGTAGTCTTCTGCATTGAATTACACATAGCTCTCTACACTACCCCTTCTACTATTCCTCTCATTCCCAGACTGTATGTTTGGGACACCTTACACCTATATCTTTAATACAGCTTTTTAGAAGAACTGCCACCCGAGCTCCTTTTCCCTTTATATACTGGCTTCCTAGGAAGTCCAACCACCAAAGTTTCTTGAAAAGCTTGTTTTCTTGGAGTTTATCTTTACTTCCATACCCCTCTTTCCTTTCTAAGGATCATGCACTCATGTGGCTGTTGTAAAAAATGCACTGAATTAGACATGAGTGAGACAAAATCAGTTCTCCCCTGCAAGGTACTACAGGTAACATCAGATGTTGATTGAGACAGTTCATTACTCCTGCCAGAAGGCTAAATACATAAAATATCAATATAAATAGAATTGTGAAGAATCTAGTTCTCATCTCCTCCCACAACTTAACAACTACTCAGAATTCTCTGCATTTATTTATAGCTTAAAAAGTTGTTTGATGACCCTGACCTTTAATGGGCTTCAGGTGACTTCCAAGTCCACAGGTGAACATGCTTAAGTTTGATGGAAAGCTTTATGTTTCAGCTGTGGGTATTTTGATTGAAAAACAAAATTCAATATTACACACTGTAGAGTAGTATCAGGAAGTTCTGAAATAATACAATTTTATTTCCAGAAAAGTCTCAATATAAGAACAGTCACAGGAGCATGCGCTACCTCGTCTTAGCTCCTGCCTATACTGGAGCTGGCTGCATGTCCGATGGAACCACTCACCTCGTTTAAGATGCTCTCCAGTGTTGGAGGGGTATCAACTTGAGGAATGTCGAATTCTTTGTCATCGATCTGTACATTAGAAACCATAGACTGAGTTTAGGTTGCCTACTCCACCTTCCAAGCTTTTTTCTAACTAGAGGAAAAAAAAAGCAGCTATGCATGCACTCACCCTCTACCCAGAAAGGAAACACGTATGCTACAATTTCTCCTGTTCAAAATGCCTTCTCTGAAATTGGGCATTGCAATACAGAACAAGAGGTATTTACTATTAAAAGTATAAAATAGTTCTCTGACTTGTGCCCAGATCTGAGATTTCAAATGGGTTTTTTTTTTTTAATTTCTAAAGATCACTACCAATGTTACACTGTCTTTCTAATACAAGCAGACATCAATACACAAGATTTTTTCTTTTTCCCCGACTGCTTACTAACAGGGAAAAACATCATTTTCTTAAAAATAAAGATACTTTTACCAGAGACTTGCATTACTGAAAACCAAGCTTTGCTATGGCGGGAAGACTAGCCCCAGCACTTGCGTCCCACTCACCTGCCGCTGTTCTGTCCCCACACCTCCTCAGTGTCCCTTCCACGGACTTAAACTGACTGACCGCACGACCAAGGGCTGACACGGCATTATTTTACACGCCTGATTACCTGCTTCTCGAGCGATTGCACAGCACAACCGTGCCTGTTACCTGCAATTTTGCCCACCAGCAAGAACTGCGTAGGTGTGCGCTCGCAGGGAAGAATTAAACACGGTAAAAGCTACCCGTAAGATCTGTTCGCAGCGCA